CTAAACTAATTTTGACAACCACCCATGTGAGTAAAGGCCCGCAGTTCCCAGCCTTCTCCGCGGTACTCAGACGTGCGACTTGAGGCTTGGCTGTAACCTTCAGGTACTTAAAGGTTCATGGGACTTAGTAACTAGGGTTATAAGTAAGGTATAGGGGTTAAGGGTTAGGGTTTAGGGCTTAAGGGTTTAAGGGTTTAGGGGTTTGGGTTTAGGATTTAAGGTTCATGGGAGGTAACTCTTCTTATAATTTCTTTTCACCCCAATTCAGGTACTTATAACTGTACTTACTAAGTCCCATGAACCTTTAAGTAAGGCAGGGCGCCTTTGTAAGGATATCCCCCTGAACCTAAACTGAAGTAAACGGGTTCCGGTCCAGCGTTCCAGAGAAAGGTGGAGACGTGATCACCAGCCGCATACACCTATCTTGGGAACCCCGCTTCCTCGGGAAATCTTGCGCATGATCCCACGCCCGTGGTTGCCTCGCCTGCCTGATCTGTGATTAAACAACCTGTCTGGAATAGAGACCCAACCGAAAACCGAAAACCGAAAACCAACAAACAAAATGTTTATCAGCAATGCCTGCGGCTGGTGCCTGAGCTCAGCTGCATGCTAATCTGAACTTGTTGCAATGATTCGGCCTGCATGTTTTTCATCTTGCTTCCCCTCTCGGACTGCTTGGTGAACCAGGACATGCGCCTCACAGACTTCGGCAAGGGATCATGTCAGCCATGCGATGCGGAGTACTCTGTCCGAGCATGATGATTGCTCGCCGCACTACAGTCACTACATGCTGGCACTCACTCAACGTCAATGGCACTCAGACACCGAAATACGTGACTTCTGTCTGTGATGTCTTGTCCTAGGGAGGACCTGCGCTTGGTCGAAAGGGATGGCAACGCTGCGCTGGCAATAGTCCTGTGATGCGTTGACACGCTCCACTGCACTCCGTCAGAGCAACATTGTAGCAGAAGTGAAGAAGAGGACAATTGTCGACAGGTGCAGCAAAGACGGCAAGTGCTACATCGTTTGCCGGCAAGCGTCCTGGACTTCTTTGGGGTCTTGGAGGGGGTGGCCGCACCGGGAACCTGAGCATGGCAGAGGACTCCCGGCCAGTCAACAAGTGAATCGCTCTGAATGCACCATGAGATGGATGACCGCGCTGCCGGCCGTACGGTGCATCCTAGACGAGGTTGAATGACAGCAGCCACCCAATCGCACAGCACTTGTGCCGCTTGCAGAAGGCATGGAACTGTTGACCGAGTAAAATGCCCGGGTTTGGAAATTCGACGAAAATACACGCAGGATTCGTGTTGCAAACGTCCGGCGGCACGCTCAAACAAGCACCTTCAGCTACCTTCAGCTTCAGTCGACAACTCGTACAGCGCGCCGAGATGCAATATTCTCGAAGATGATGGAATCCTGGGATACGAGCTATCAACAAGCAACCACCACGTGTCTGTGGTAGACATGGCACATTACTTCGCACGAGATAAACTGCTCCGATAATAAGCTGAGACAGTGCACCAGGGTGCGACAAGGCAGCAAGCCAACGAGGGAACAGACAGCTCGAATGCTTAACAATAACGGGAGATGATGCAACTTTGCTTTGGTGGTTGCTGCACGAATTCTTTTTGTCAGTGCATCGTGCGAAACCAACACACGACCTGGCTTTGTCATTTCCGGCATGCACGACCACTTGCAAGCAATGCAACATCAACACAATTGGCGCAAAAATATGTGTGGTTTCTGCGAGGTACAGGACCTGCAAGCGCAAACGAACCTCAAATCTCACATCAACACACCCATTCATGTTGGCCCCAAGACTTAGAGGTACTTGCCGCGGTGTCCTCGTCGCTGCTCTTCAAGCTCCTTTGCAACTTCGGAGTCTGCTCATCATCCTGGTGTCTGCGCTCAGAAGCTCGGAATTTCAAGGATTTCCAGATGCCGGGCACACCAGAGGGTCTGGCCCTAACCCGTTCCGTGGGCTACGAACAAGAAGTTGCTACGAGTACGGCATGACGGTCTCTATCTACGCGCTGGTCTCAGGACACTCCAGACGCTTCAGACCAGTGCCAGGTGTGAAAAAGCTGTAGTTTTGTCAAAAACGCGGCATGCAAAAACTTCATTTCTGGGATTTGTCATGTGGCGACCCTTCTGCTCAGGATTCGCCCATGCTCGCCTGGGAAACTTTCCCGCCCGTGGCGTTTCTCCATAGTTTGGCGTTGTACCAGCGCTTCTGCTCAATATATTCGCCCATGCTCGCCTGGCAAGCCGCCCTGCCCGCAGTTTGATGGTACAGAGCGTTTCTCCATGGTTTGGCGGTTTGGCACGTGTCCCGCCGGCCCACAGTCATCCCCGCACTTCCCGGGGACCATGGAATGAATCGTTAAGAGTTTCTTCCGGAACTAGTCGCTTGAGTAGCATAAGCGTATGCTGTGAAGAGATCGCCTCGTCCGTGAAGCTCTTCCTCCGTCTTCTTGGAGAGGGCGCATGTAGGACTTGGACGGTCTCCTGTCGCAGAACCCGTGATATTAATGACCAAACCCGAATCCTGTCAACCACTGGTTGAAGTCAAGTACACCAAGGCTGCCATCGTCGCGACGTCCCTACGTTTTGTTGCATCTTGGATTGACCGCGTCATGCTGCTAAATATACTGTGTCTTACGCGGAAGCAGATCAGATTTGTGGCTCGGCAATTATAGACGTGCTCATCTGGCGAAGTTCATTGCGTCACTGCCAAATTGCACAACCCTTCGTGGCACGGGCCGTGAGAGCAAAAGTGCAGGAATGAAAGCCGAGAGACCCTGACTAAGCGCCATGGCTTGGCCCGGTACATATTTTTTGAAAGGTCCCCGAACGATCTCGTGAGCATGAATGCGTTGATATATTGTGGAAACTATAACCGAGATTTCTCGACGAAGTCGCATGGAACCCCCATGCCTCCAACGGCGGCGCAGTCGACGCCCGCAAGGCCTCGAGCACCAAGGCTTGAGAGAGGAAAGCCTTGGCACCCCGAACCGCTCAGTCTCCTTGACTTCGTTACAAGTTTAATTCAAACGAGACAACTCGCCCCTGAACAAGGTCCCAACTTTCTTGTGGTGACAAACAGATGGCACACTTTCCTGGCCTTCTTCGGTGCTGCCTGTTTGAGATGTGTCCTTTCCGCAGACGATATCGCAGAAGACGTCTGCAATTCCTCGCGCTGTAGAGACTGATGATTCCAATGATGCTGAGAGGCACGTAACTGTCACCATCATGCGCCGTGGCCGAAGATACCGTCTTTCAAAAACATGTGAGAACTCCACAGCTCGACTCACCAAAAAAGGCTTGCACAGCAGGCTCCTCTGGGCCGACCGGGGTCCCAAAGTTCGACCTGACCATCTGCAATGCTCAAGGTCGCTCCAGCCCGCGCATTAGGGCTTGCCGCAAATGGCCCATCATAGATCTTGCAGTTAGCAAACTGAGCAGCGGGTATCCCGCACATTGATGGAAGCGTTAAAGAACAAACACAAATACATCGTCGAAGCATGGCTTACTTGTAGGCGTTTGCCAAGTATTTGTTATGCGGGTGCAGGTATTGTACACAGGTATGTAACATCTCCAGGGATCGTCACACAAACGTCTCTGGAGGCAGGTCACCGGAACGTGATGCTTTCACTGTGAGGCTTCACCGACACCGACGCTGAAGCGCTCCCGTGGACACTGACCTGCTTCGCCTGGGCTGTGTGACATCTTGCTGCATCTGTAGGCAGTTTTGTTTACGGGCCTGTCCCAAGGTTTGCAAAGTAGTCGATGACTGACGTTGCGAATGTCGGTCATAGGTGCCAAGAAGGCGGATCGTCGGGACTCGAAGATTTGAACTCGGATCTACGGGAGTTGGAAAGCGTCTGGGTTTGCGCATTGCTGCAACAAATCTCTAAGCTTTTGCAGGAGGCCTTGACATACAGTGGGGTTAACACCGCTCTTGAGTGCATCCATATGTTCGTGCCCAACCCTAGCTTTCCTCGTGCGCTGGAAACTGTGAAACATGCAAAAAGTGTCTGATGTCGTGCTGAATGTAAGCCTTGCACCCGTTGCAAGACATTGGGTCCTGCCATGCTACATCACGGCAATTTGCATTGGTTGTCAACCTACACACAGACATACATACATGCATGCATACAAACATACGGGCATACGTGTGTGTATATACAAACATTAACACGTACACATACACTGACACTTACACGTACACACACACATACATGTACACATCTAGGCATACATTTCTATATATATACACATACAAACAAACAAACAAACAAACAAACAAACAAACAAACAAACATACATACATACATACATACATACATATATATACACATGCAAGTATGTACGTACATGTATATATATATATATATACACACATGCTTTCAGACTCTGCATGCGTGTATGCATATGCGCACGTATGTGCGTGCGGATACTTGCATGTCATGTGTGCTTGTGTGCATGTATGCGTGTTAGAAATGTGCACAATGAACATAATATGTGCATACATGTGTTTCAATGGATGCTCGACTTTCCTCGTTTGCCGTGACGGCGAATGCTCAAGCCAATGTTACCAGTCCCGAAACCCAATAAACACAAAAACCTGACCTGGGGCTGCGAATGCAAGCTTAGTGGCTTCTTCCAGCTGCCGGTCCACCATCCGCCTTGCTGCGCGGAGTCACTCAAGGTCTTCACATGTGCGAAACGAGGGCTTCATTCAAACGTACGACTCTGGCCACTAGACCGTAAACTCGACGACTTCTCCTCTGGCGAACTCGGGGCCCGGCAGCAGCTCCATTTGTTTCAGCACCATGCTGGCCCTGAGATCGACCAGCCCCTGGTGCCTCAGCTTTGAGGCATTCAGACTTCGCTCAACCTTAGCAGCTGCAGTGTTCGCCTGTTCAGTCTCACCGACCTCGTTCACGCTTCCCCTAGCCAACCAGCTTCATAGCATCCAAACGGACCTGACATCCTCGCCAGCACGTGCTGTAACTCGAAACCCGTTTGTCACGGAAAGGGCTTGGCGCATGCATGGCATTTCGAGCTTGAGACATGCCCTTGTGACGGAAATCCCTGATGTGCTCGTTCGTGCGACTACAAGCATAGCTGAAACAGTTCGTTTCTGATCAGAGAAACGGAAAAGCCACACTACTTCCGACAGAGGAATCCTTGGTCAAACGTGCCGATGCAACTAGAAGCGCAGGATGATTGGGAGTAGTGTCACACACCTAAGCCCTAAGCATAATCGACTCAATAACCGAGGCTGTTTCCCATGCATTGCTTGTACATTCCCACGGAAGACGTTGAGCCGCACAGGGAACTTTTTCAGCGCGACCATCCAAGATTCAGTTTGAATAACAAGGCTCCGTATGCTTTTCCAAGGGACAGTCGCATCGGCAACTCGGGAGCTTCGTGCGATGCAAACCTTCAAGGTTTAGGGTTTAGGGTTTAGGGGCCGGAGCGACGCAAAATGTGTCCCTTCTAAGATGGCGTTCGTAGCAGTCACGAGGGCACATCCCTGCTAAGAAGCATGTTGGCATGTCTTGGTGCAAACCCTAAACACTAAACCCCTAAACCCTCAACCCCAACCCCCTAAGCCCATGAACCCAAAATGCATGAAACTTGAAGCTGCTCGTAGTTTCCATCCGGAAACCGATGGTCCCTCTCCGGACTATCGGGTAAGTCTTCGATGCTCAAGAAAAGTCTGTCGTCAACCTAATCGTTCGGGATTTCACATGGGGCACTGTTTCAAAAACTTAACTTCATTTCCGGTCCGTACGAGACTACAAACCGCGGTGAAGCCCACGATCAGAGCCCAAACTCGGAATAACCCCCCACCCCTCCTTGAAATTCGCATCACTTGCTCTGTCACCCCACCCCCTCCTTCTGGAACCTGCGGGCTCCTACGGTTGATGATATCAATCCTAACTTACCCATAACAAGGAATATACCAAATGGGTTTAGGGTTTAGGGCATTACCTTAAGTTAAGGTAATGCCCTAAACCCTAAACCCTAAACCCTAAACCCCTGATTTATATCATCAACAGTAGCACGGTCTTAGCCCCATCGCCCAGGCAGATTGCCTCGTGGAGAGCTGCATAGCACCTCAGGAAAAACAGGGCCGCTGCGGTACCCTAATGTAGGGTTTAGGGTAGGGTCTAGGGTAATTAGAATAGGGTTTTGGAGTACATTATACTATACTTATAATAAGGACCCCCAGAATAGTATTGGTAATTATTTTGGCCCCTATATCACCCTTGGCCCGAGACCCTTAGCCCCGCACACACACACACACACTCTCTGAACCGCGACCCTAAACCGTGCATCCATAAGATACGCTGTTGACAGCATTGTCAAGGACAGATCTACTGTTTTAGTATTTGGCTACAACTCTCGGCATACTTCTGCCAGTATCGCAAGGCACGTGCATCGAACTCACGCTCCTCAGGGATCTTTTGTTTGAGGCTAGCGTGGCCTGCAGCCAAAGCCATTCAAGCTACATGCCGCGTGAAACTTGGGACGACTGATGACATGCTATGCTAATGCCTGACAGGCTGCTGACCGATTCCAGACCTTCCTGCTCGATGTCATCGACAAGGCATGCCGGGCCGCGGTCCTCAGGAGACGAAGCAGAGTACAAAACCAAAGACCAAAGAAGGCATCAATTTCAAATGAGAGTCCGATGCCATGGCAGTGGCATTCGACGACTTCGCCTACAACAAGCCCGTCAATCACTGCACATGAAGACTCGTGGAGATAGGAGGGGCGCGAGCTCAGCTCAACAACCAGGCAGCACAGCCCTTTTGCTCCCACCCCTCCCAAAGATGCAGCTGCTAGTCTTGGCTCACGACAATGACAAAAGTAATCGCAAAAATCCGCCTCCTCCCTTGGAAGAATCGCCTGCTGACGTGGTGGGTCAGGATCGATCAGGCCTCGCAGAGACGGCGAATCCAAGACTTGCTCCAAAAACTTCAACAGCACTGCACGCGTTGCACCCGTTTCCCTCTGCTCCGCCAAGTAGCTGTGTGGAAGGATAGGCAGGTCATGTGTATGTGCTTCTTCCATGCCGCAAGGGTAGCTTTGTTGCTGTTCGCAACAGAATCGGTTTGACGCTTTGCACTTGTGCTCTGTGTTTGCTTGCTCTTCATGGGCGACCATTTCTCTCATGTCTTGCACGGCGACGACACAATCATGCTTGAGCCACGCGCTTTGAAAAACGAGGCCTGATGCGAAGGCATAAGCCCTTTAGGGCCAGCGTTTCTGCACAAGCAGTCCACTTCATCTCGCGCCGTGAAGGACAGCTGCTGGCTGAGGCTCTTCAGCTTTAAGATTACAAAAGCGATGCGACATGCGACCCCAAAACTGCATGATAATAAGCAACCAGCATATCCCAAACCCCGTGCCGTTTGAACGCTGCATGCCCCAGACGATAAGGTTCCGGGCCGGGTCTCCAGCCAGCGATGCTGCAGCAGGCCATGCAAAAGCCGGTTTGGTTACTGTAAGGGGTACCACAGATGGGGGTTTTACTATACGGATTACTATTGGGTTTTCAGGGGTTGGTGGCGGTTCCAGAGCTTCTGGCACTTGACCGAAACATGATGCTTTAAGCGTTCTGCAAGGGATCAGAGCTATCAGCTATTTGCTTCCCATGTGATACCTGTCCGCTTAAGCCGCAAGCAGGATGACCTTGCTCTATCCGACATGGCATGTAGCAGGTGCCGAACGTGAAATGGAAGCCGGTTTCTGAGCTTTGCTTCTCATGGTAACGTCACAAAGCCAAGCAAAGCTACGCATGCTACTAGTCAGGGTACGACCACGAAAAGTTTCCGAACTTTGCTCGGAATCGGTCGTTGTGGCAATAGTTCATCTGGCAGTAGGTAACGTCACACTGGAAGTTTCCCATTGCACACGCTGTCATTGCCTGAGCTCCATGTCATGATCATCATGCCAATCACGCACACCAGGCAGAAAAATCTACTGGGATTCCGTAAGCCACAAGTTTAGTCCAAGACCAAGATACTGAAATCCCGGCCTCATGACGGGCGATTTTAACCAGGGAGCCCCATCCGGTGAAGTTCCACTCCTCAACGTGCCGCTCCAAGTGCGGGAGGCAGTGTCCAAAGAGAGACAGACATTAAAAGGCGGAAGCAATCACGCGCACCTTGGGGATGTGGTGCTTGGTCGCAACCTCCAGGGCACGTGCCAGCACCGCCATGTAGTCCTTCCAGCCGAGTTCTGTCCACCTTCGGCAAGCCCAGCATGAAAGCAAACACGCATCGCCAAATATCTTAAGTGTGGGTTCCACAGCCCAGCATGGTTCGTCTCAGGTCGGTCTTCCGCAGGCATGTCCAGCCTCTGTCCGTAAAGCTTGTTGCAGATGCCTTGAGCTTCCTGCATCGTTGTCTTTTCAGTAACCTGCGTGTTGTTGCAGTGTCCGGAGACGAAGCAGTAGATCGCGTCGGCACCTCAGCGAAACCAGGAAGCAGACCTTGATACCAATATCAATCTCCTCATGCTGATGCAGCAGCAACAATAAGCACCACCAACAACCAACAACCAACAACAAGCAACCAACAACTAAGAAACAACAAAAAGCATTCTCCACCCTCAGGCAGATTTCGGGCTGAAGTCCCTGAAACACTGGGACTCCGGCTCGTGAGCTTCAGCTTCTGCTGGGACTTGAACATCCTTGGGGAGCGGTCGTGCAACAGGACTTCACTGGAACTTTGGTTAAACCCTAAACCCTAAACCTAAACCGTGGCTCTTGGGGCTTAACAAAGTTGGGATTTTAAGCCCTCATAAGCCCTCGGCAGTTTATGGGATGGCCTCAGTTCCGTGTCAGCAACTGCTGGCATCCTTCCGGAAGCCACGGCAGCTTGTGCACCCGAGTTCGAATTTTGCATGTTCTAGCCTTTGTTCTTGGGTTTGGTTCTGTGCCTCATACACCTTCACCCAAGTCAAGCTGCTCCCGGCCGTATCCACGAGAATCGCCCTCCACGATGCACCTTAGATGCTGACACGCTCAGAGATTTTTGCCGGATCCGAATTTGAGCAGGTGTCGCTCCCGTTAGCTTCTGGGACTGTACCAGGTAAAGCTTTGGGGTTCAGGAAGGCTTGCGAGAGCCTCACTGTAAACGTGCTTTGCCGATATGGTCCGTACTCAGCGCTCCAGACCGGAGACGGCCTGTAGACGTATCGCACCCTACGTAACCCTAAGCATTTGGCCGTGCATGTTGCGCATGTGTATATGTATGTGTATATATATATATATGTATTTATATATATATATATATATATTTATATAAGCCATATATGTAGATGGCCCCCCCATTGACCCACCCTTGTCCAACTGTTCCTAGCCCGCAGTATCACATCAAGGATTTCAATAGTCTTGGAAAGTGGCATGCCCCATACTTATATTATATATATATATATATGTCCTGCAAAACCCACCTCAGTTGCCCCAGCCACTGACGTCACCCAGTCAGGGGCCGTGTTGATTTACAGGGGCCGTGTTAATTAACATGGGCCCCCGGAACCAAGAACCAAGATTCCCGGAAAAGTTCTGGCCAATCTTGGTTCCCAGGCTTGGGCCCGTGTTAATGAACACGGACCGTGTTAACTAACGCGGGCCCCAGGAATCAAGAACCAAGATTCCCGGAAAGGTTTTCGGGCGAATCTTGGTTCCTGGACCTGTCCTGAATACAGGCCCAAGTATGGGAACCAAGATTCACAAGAAAACTGTTCCAGGAATCTTGGTCCTTGGTTCTTGGTTCCTGGGGTCCGTGTAAGTTAACACGGTCCGTGTCACTTAACACGGGCCCCAAGCCTGGGATCCACGATTCACCAGAAAACCTTTCTGGGAATCTTGGTTCTTGGTTCCTGGTCCCGTGTCAATTAACACGTTCCGTGTTATATAGTTAACACTGACCCAAGCGTGGGAACGATAGTTCGCTAGGACTTTTCCGAATCTTGCTTCTTGGTTCCTGAAACTCTGTACATTAGCCCGCCTTTGCACAGCCACGGGGACGGTAGCGCCTACGTTTGGCCAGGTACCCAGACACGACATTATAGGTCTACGACCACAAAGGAATTATGACGTTCTAACGGGTCCTGTAGAAAAACTGGCCGAGCTTTGAGGGAGAGGGTTACCATCGTACGGCCTAATGGTTGAGGGGCACTCCCTGGGCACCTATGAAATACGAAGCCTGGAAATGGTATCTTATGCAGGGTCGGACAGAAAAGAAATTGCAATAGTATCCTAATATACCTTATGGCATCTCATACCCAGCCCTTGTTGTGATTGTTATCAGTAGCATTCGTATCATGATTGTTGTTATTTTCTTCTTATTATGACGATCCTTATATTATCAACACAAATTCGCCCGAGTCGGCATCTAAACGAACTTGAATAGACGCGTCCTTTAGAAGTATTTCACAGCCAAAATGGGGAGGGGGGAGAGGCTACTGTTCCATAGGTTGTGCTTAGCATCCTACAAGTAACCCCATCACCCTAAACCCTAAACCCTAAACCCTAAACCCCAAACCCTAAACCCAACCTCAAACCCGTAAGCCTTAGCTAGACCTTGAGTCGGTCATGCGGCATCAAAGCAACTGAAAGGCGGTTTTTAGGGGGTGTAGCAGAAGTAGATATATATATATATATATATATGCGTGTGCATGCATATATGTCTGTGTATGAAGTTATATCTCTCTAGGTTGTATGTCTATATGACATAGTATATATATATATACGTAATTATATATATATATATACACACACACACATATATATATATATATACATATATGCGCATGCATGTATGCATACATACCTACATACCTACACACATACCTGAATATATATATATATATATATCATATATGAACATTATGCGTGTGCGTGTGCAAGTGCGTACGATATGTACGCATGTGTACATGGGTAGTTGAAGGGTCACATTTAGGACTTCAGGAACCCAAAAGAAGGCGGCACCCTTATATATTAGATCCTGAAGGGGCCCTAACTTAGAGAACTACCTCCATCACTGTAGTGAACGGATGGTGCTATGTATTGCTGGCGTACTTGTATAATTAGGTGCTGTAATTCCAGAGAACAAAATCCCAAGACTCCTGTACGAAGCTACACCCCACACGACGACGACGACGACGACGACGACGACGACGGAGACCTGCTACAACGTCCTGCCGGAGCGGCCAGAACCAGTCCTAGGAATGCGCTACAAAGGAATACCTTCGGCTAAAACAGCACGCAACTATACCAAGACAAGAACGCACCCTGAAGACTCGCCTGAACTAAACCACAGTTAGAGCCTCCTACTTGCCCTCTGATGCTGACATGCGCTCCAAGCACTTCTGCATCGAAGTGGAATACATTGGGTATGCCCGGCACCAGCTTCTGAGATTGGCCTGCGCACGCGGCTGCGTTCGGTAGGTCTTGCCGCGCTGCGCCTGTTTTTCTACGATGCTGGCATGACCCTGGGGTCTCAACTGGAGGAGGTCACCGCGATTCTCCCTTCACAGCATACGCCCATCGCAAACATGCGAAAAGAGCCGCCGGGGCCCAGCCACGGAGATGCAGGAAGTAAGGACTTTGAGGCTAAAAAATAGGATATCTGCGAGATAGGATGAAAGCGTTGGGGCACGCGGCACACAATGCCGTTGCTGAAGCGGTGGCTAAAACTGCAGACTTGCTTATCAAAACCATGCTTTGCAATTGTGAAAACGGAAGAACATACTGGTCTTGTCTTCGACTGCAATCTTCCCAATCTTGCAGAGCCGCCACCGTCCACGTAGTCGTCGTGGTAGAAGCAGTAATGGCTGCAGTGGGCGTAGCAGCAGCAGTAGCAGTAGTAGTCGTCGTCGGTGGTGGTGAAGGTAGCAGCAGCAGCAGCCGCAGCCGCAGCAGCAGCAGCAGGAGCAGGAGTCAGTAGCAGTAGAAGTAGCAGTAGTAGTAGTAGTAGTAGTAGTAGTAGTAGTGGTAGCAGCAGCAGTCGGAAGAGTAGCTGTTGGTCTGGAGCCGGCCTTACCGCTGCTGGTTGCTATTCGCGTTTCCATGGCCGTCTTCTCGCTCTCAGTCAAGGGGTCCTCTGATGCCGCGCAAGGGAGGAGGCTTGAAGTGTTTGAAGTTCTTGGTTTACGATTGGTACTAACGTGATGTAATTTGTTGGAAGGGTTGACGGTGAAATCAAGGACTCCAAGGTATGCCCTTTGGCAGGCAAAGCCTTGAGAAGGTAGGGGCTGCTTGTGGATTGAGCGTAGGAGGCTTACACGAAACAGTAGCGGCGAAGATGTGCAAATCTTTCTGCAGTGAATCGTGTGCAAGTCTCGGACGCGGGAGAAGAGGAGAAGATGTCGAAAACGCGTGCCATCAAGGTGTGATGGAACCCAGCACAGATCCCCGCCAACCGACACTCCCCAACCTCGATAATTAAGCTTCTTGAAAAAACATGGACAATTTCAAGAAGTTGGAGCCCCTCCCTAGCCAAGTCTTGCAGCTGTTCAGGCAACTTGCTTGGAACCCTGCAAAGGAACAAACGAACCACAGCTTGCCAGGGCCGTCAGAATGTCAACAGTACAGTATCAGAGGAAGTAGCAACAGCAGCAGCAGAGGCAGCAGGAGCAGTAGTAGTAGCAGTAGTAGTAGTAGTAGTAGTAGTAGTAGTAGTAGTAGCAGTAATAGTAGTAGTAGTGGTAGTAGTAGTAGTAGTAGTAGTAGCAGTAGTAGTAGAAGCAGTAGTAGTAGTAGTAGTAGTAGTAGCAGCCGAAATAGTAGCAGGAGTAGAAGAAGCAGAGGTA